ATAATTTAAAAATTTCTATTATAAATTAAATTAAATTCCTAATTTACAAAATTTCTATAATAAATTAAATTAAATTTATAATTTAAAAATTTCTACTATAAATTAAATTAAATTCGTAATTCACAAAATTTGTATATTTAATTTAATTAAATTCATAATTTAAAAATTTCTATAATAAATTAAATTAAATTCATAATTTATTATACAAACGTATGTAAATATTTTTTTATATTACAGAAAATATTTGAAACATCTTTTCATAAATTTCGTTTTATTTTTTTCCTCTTTTTCTTGCTGAATATTTTTTCTAATAAAAAAAAAAAAAAGGAGGAAAGGGTTGTCGATAAAATATGATTCGAATAAATATTTAAAAAACGATACAAAGATATGAGATAACAAATTGAAGTGTGTACCCATATCTTTTTTTTTTTCTTTTTGACGTAATAATATTCCAACGATGATTCATACTCGTCATAATAATTGACAAAAAAGAAGGGTGTAAAGAAAAATTTAAACAAGTTGGCAAATTTTTAATAAAAACAATAATGAAACTTAACTCTAATGAAATTATACTCGACAAGTTTGTTCATTTTTATATTTGTTAATAATACATTGTAATATTGTATGGATTTTCTTTTCTTGTTTTTTTTTTTTTTTTTTTTTTTTTTTTTTTTTTTTTTTTTTTTTTGTGAATTTTTCTATCAACATTTGTTTTATGGCTTACTTACTTTTATTGTGTTTTTTTAATTAATTTTTGTAATTTCAAATTTTCTTTACAGACGAACGAGACGCCATACAGAAGAAGACCTTTACAAAATGGGTGAACAAACACTTGAAAAAGGTATGCACGATTTGTATATTTCATTTTTTGTTTAAACAACGATCGAAGAATCTCAAAGTGTTTCTTTCCTTTTATTCTCTCACTTCAAATAGAAAGAATTATTAGAAAATTTTAATTCAGTCATTTTTTTCTTAAATTCTGTTTTTTTTTTTTTTTTTTTCATTTCACATGTAAAAATTCATATCACGTATAATACATATATATACTAATACAATCAATACAACAACAACAACGACACATATCCAGTTATAAACCAAGGAAGAAATTTCGTGTGAGGAAACACGTGACCTCGATTTCATTTCAGTCGTATTTTAAAATTAAAAAAAAATAAAATAAAAATAAAAAAAGATTCCAAAAAGATTCCACAAAAAAGAAAATTCAATGAAATAGTGACACTCTCACACACACACACAAAACAGACAGACATAGATACACACACGTGTAAATATCTTCACATCAGTCAGACAAAAAATAACCAATGAAATAGTGAAACAAACACACACACACACAGACGTATAAATACATTTACATCAGTCAAATCAGTCAGACAAATACACAGAAATAACTCGTCTTCCCCTAAAAAAAAAAAGGGAAATAAAAGAAATTCCAATCCCTTTCGAAAATATCTGCATTAAAATTGGTTTTTATATTTCTTTACAGACAACATTAAACCGTAAAACCCCTTTTTCGATGATACTTCTTTCAAAGATAAAGAAGAAACCTTATTTATGTCGTGAAAGAATCACACTATGTTCTCATAGGATTTACTATGATATATATAGGTGACTATACTTGTCACGTGTTTTTACAAGTATACTATTAATTCTCAGCCTAATTCTTTTAAAAAAAAACAAATTAAATACAAGAAAAGAATTATATTTTAAAATAATTTTATATTTATTATATAATTTTAAAAATAATTTTAAATAAAAAACCATTATTGCATTTATTATATTTAAATAATTAATTATTTTGAAGGTTTCATTGGTAGAACAAATTGACATATAAAATATTATTATATCATTTTGAAAATAATTTTAAATAAAAAGCCATTATTGAATTTATTATATTTAAATAATAAATTATTGAACGTTTAATTGGAAAAACAAATAATTATATAAAATATTATTGTTTAAAGATTATTATATTTAAATGACAAATTATTTTGAAGGTTTCATTGGTAAACCAAATTAACATATAAAATATTATTATATCATTTAAAAAATAATTTTAAATAAAAAACCATTATTGCATTTATTATATTTAAATAATAAATTATTGAACGTTTACTTGGATAAACAAATAATTATACAAAATATTATTGTTTAAAGATTATTATATTTAAATAACAAATTATTTTGAAGGTTTCATTGGTAGAACCAATTGACATATGAAATATTATTATATAATTTAAAAAATAATTTTAAATAAAAAACCATGATTGAATTTATTATATTTAAATAATAAATTATTGAACGTTTAATTGGATAAACAAATAATTATACAAAATATTATTGTTTAAAGATTATTATATTTAAATGACAAATTATTTTGCAAGTTTAATTCGTAAAACAAATTGACATATTAAATATTATTATATCATTTTGAAAATAATTTTAAATAAAAAACCATTATTGAATTTATTATATTTAAATAATAAATTATTGAACGTTTAATTAGAAAAACAAATAATTATATAAAATGTTATTGTTTAAAGATTATTATATTTAAATAACAAATTATTTTGAAGGTTTCATTGGTAGAACAAATTGACATATAAAATATTATTATATAATTTAAAAAATAATTTTAAATAAAAAACCATTATTGAATTTATTATATTTAAATAATAAATTATTGAACGTTTAATTAAAAAAACAAATAATTATACAAAATATTATTGTTTAAAGATTATTATATTTAAATAACAAATTATTTTGAAGGTTTCATTGGTAGAACAAATTGACATATAAAATATTATTATATCATTTTGAAAATAATTTTAAATAAAAAGCCATTATTAAATTTATTATATTTAAATAATAAATTATTGAAGGTTTACTTGGAAAAACAAATAATTATATAAAATGTTATTTTTTAAAGATTATTATATTTAAATAATAAATTATTTTGAAGGTTTCATTGGTAAACCAAATTAACATATAAAATATTATTATATCATTTTGAAAATAATTTTAAATAAAAAGCCATTATTGCATTTATTATATTTAAATAATAAATTATTGAACGTTTAATTAGAAAAACAAATAATTATACAAAATATTATTGTTTAAAGATTATTATATTTAAATAATAAATTGTTTTGAAGGTTTAATTCGTAAAACAAATTGACATATAAAATATTATTGTTAAATAATATTATAATTATTAAACTACTAATTTTCATAAGTTATATTATATTTTATTATATAATTAATTAAATTATAATATATTTAAAAAATATAACTATAATAATTACCTAATTAGTGTTTTTACAAGTATACTATAATTATCAGCCTAATTCTTTTTAAAAACAAATAAAATACAAGAAAAGAATTATATTTTAATAAAAATACTTTTAAATAAAACACATGATTTAATTTATGATATTTAAATAATAAATTATTGAAGGTTTACTTGGAAAAACAAAAAATTATATAAAATATTATTGTTTAAAGATTATTATATTTAAATAACAAATTATTTTGCAGGTTTAATTCGTAAAACAAATTGACATATAAAATATTATTGTTAAAAAATATTATAATTATTAAACTTCTAATGTTTATAAATTATATTATATTTTATTATACAATTAATTAAATTATAATATATTTAGAAATATCATTATAATAATTAACTAATTATTATAAATAATGTAATAAAAAAAATCATTCAAGATGCTTTTCGTTTGAACTAAAAAGTCATGGAATGAAATAATAAAAAAAAAAAGTAATTAAAAAAAAATAAATTAAGAAAAATAATGAGAAAGATGATCACGTATGATGTTTTAAATGAAAAGGATAGGTTAAATTAAAAAAAAAAAAAAAAAATAGAAGTGTATAAAAAACAATAAGTATCGTGTCACTTAGCATTGTTCTCAATCATCTAGCGTGTCGTTTCTCGAATTCACTTCTTCCTTATCAACTTACTACCACCACAAGAAATAAAATGACGTAAGAAGGTCGTCATTATTAAAAAAAAAAAAAAAACACACACACAAAGATGCCGCTTAAAAGATATTTATCTATCTACAACTTATAAATTATCTTTTAACTTTAACCATGAGTAATAAAAATTAATTGTAACAAAATAGTAAAACACGAAAAATCAATTAAATTGATTTTGATGAAATAAAATTTGAATTTAAAAAAAATAAATAAATAAATAATATAACTTAAGCGATGAAAAATAATAACTAAATGCGTGATACATAAAATTATTAAATATAAATAATATTAATTAATATTGTGTGCGTAGATTGTATTTTTGGATTATAAATTGGATATACATTTATTTTACAATACTTTCAATTTTATTTTATTTTATTTGATAATTTATTTTTTTAATATATAATATAACACTCTCTTTTATATGTTTATTTAAAAAAAATGAAAAAAATAATATCGTATTTAATTTAATTATAAATACCACATACATTGTGTAGATAATTTTTTTCAATGTGTAATATTAAAAATGTCTTTTTAAATTTTTATTAAATGTAATTTTAAATTTTGTTCTATTTTCTTTAATAATTTATGTTTTTTTTAATGTACAATACACTTACATATTGTACAATTGGAAAAAATAAAAAAATAATATCGAATTTAAATTAATCCTAAATACCAAATACATTTTGTAGATAATTTTTTTAAATGTGTAATATTAAAAATGTTTCTTTAAATTTTTGTTAAATATAATTTTAAATTTTGTTTAATAATTTATTTTTTATATTACACTTACGTATTGTAAAATAAAAAAAAAAAAATAAAAAAATAATATCGAATTTAAATTAATCCTAAATGCAAAATACATTTTGTAGATAATTCTTTGTAATAGGTAATATTAAAAATGTCTTTTTAAATTTTTGTTAAATGTAATTTTAAATTTTGTTTTATTTTGTTTAATAATTTATGTTTTTTTTAATGTACAATACACTTACATATTTTAGAAAAAAAATAATATCGAATTTAAATTAATTATAAATAATACCAAATACATTTTGTAGATAATTTTTTTTTTTCGATGTGTAATATTAAAAATGTCTTTTTAAATTTTTGTTCAATATAATTTGAAATTTTGTTTTATTATGTTTAATAATTTATTTGAAATGGTAGTTGTATTTTTTATTAAGTAAGACTTATGGGTTAGTTGAGTTAGAGTTTGAAGAATAAAATGACTCACCAACGACAACGTATATCTCAGTCAGTATAATCAGCATCAGCATCAGCATCAGCAATGATGATGTGTTTTATTCGAAGCAGTTGTTTGGTATATCTTTGGTAGGAGAAAACGAATCACAATCACACCGTATATGGTCGAAATTGTCTCGTTAACGTATAATCATCTCGAGTTGACGTTCTCCCCTTTATCTTTCTCTCTTTTTCTTTTTCTTTTTTATTCTTTTTTATTCTTTCTTTAATCCTTTTCTTCTTCTTCTTCTTCTTCTTCTTCTTTCTCATTCTAATCTCGTTGTGTTCGTTACTTGATATGTAAATCATTAAGATTAAAAAAAAAAAATTGAAAATATTTCTTAAATCATTCATTCATTTCATTCATTTGCATTGTATAATAATTATTTATAATAATTAAGTTATATTATTTATTTATTATTGAAGATTATTGTGCAGTTTAAAATATAAAAATATATATATATATTTGGTTTATTTCATTTCAAATTTGTGCTTGAGAAAATGTTTCATTAGTTGATAAATGATTTTAAAAATAATTGAAACTAATTTTCATTCATTTTATTCAAATTTGTGCTTGAGAAAATATTT